GCAGCTCCTCTCTTGGCACACATGCTGGTTTTAGGTCACTTTTTGAAGGTGTCCAGATCTCTGCACGTACTATGCAAAGAGCCTAGTGGTTAAATGAGACCCTGTTAAATACTGTAGCCAAGCACTTGACTCCCGCTTTGCATTGCTGAAGCTGGCTGCATAGTCAGTCAGCCCTGTGACTCTCTCCCCTGTGCCTTGCAGGTGCATCCAGCCAGCTGCAGCACTTGCAGCAGTAATGTTTCACAATCAGGGCAAGAAGCCCATCTCATTCTCAAAAGCAGAACTTCTCCAGAAGAGCTGTTCTCTGGTAGTGACAACATCTCCACCAGTGCATGGCACACCATCCAAAACAGCAGCCAAGTGCCACCAGCACCTCCACTGCTGTCTGGCCCCATCTCACTGACAAGCTTCCTTGCACCTCCAAGCTGCAGCCCCTTTTGTGATGCTGCCATTTATGGACCTGCACATTTCCTTCCACTTACTATTTCTTTTAATGACTGTAGTGGATAATGGAAGATGACAGATTATAGTCATTACAGGGTGATGAGTTTTGGGGTTTTTTGTTTGTTTGTTTGTTTTACTTTCTTAAGAGGTGTTCTAGGCATCTTAAGCATTTTAAGCAGCTGTAAAGATGGATGTGGTGCCCTGGGTAGCATGTGGCTAAACACAGTAACTATAGGGCAGGCCAGGATGTGACTCTTGAGCTCAAGCAAACTACTCTCTATTGAAGCTGCAAAATTACCTTAAGGACTTCTGTTAGGTTTGCAGCCCTTGGACTTAACTTAGGTGTTTAAATGGAGGTTACAGCTGTTTGGCAGGATCTACATTCTCTGTGATTAAGCAATTTGACTGTGAGCATGTAAGAATTATTAGCGGGAACAGTATGCAGTGGTTCTGCTTTTGCAGGGTCTGATCCACACATAGTTGTTTGCAAAGGTGGATTGATTAGAAGGGACGGAACGAACTGAGGGGCTTATGTCCAAGTCCTCTTAACACCATGGACTTTGAGGCATACTCCACGCTTCTAGTTCATAAAATAAGGGACTTAAATGCCCATTCCCAACTTCACTGCCCATGCAGACCGAGGGAGTTCAATCCTGTTGCAGTCATGCAGAATACTGCTGAAAGCAATGGGACATTACATACACAGACTCATACATATGTACACACCTCAGGGCATAAAGCAAAACTTATGAGATTTTTTTTATTACTGAGTAGCAGGCTCTATGTCTTTGTGGAAGTCTTACACTGAAGGGAAATCCCTGAGTTTGGCCCACACCTTTCTTGCAAAGAAATACCGAGGAACACACCTGCTTTGTCAATAGACCTAAATCCACAACAGATACATTCACCACTACAGGGAAATGTTTGAAGGGGGATCAAAGCCAGCAGAAAGCCAGTGATAGCAAAGGAGATGTCAAAACAACAGCTCCAAGACTTGTAGCCAGTTGGTACCTGTGACAAAATCGGCATTTATAGGCATAAGCCTTTTTTGCCAGATGGGAATGTAGCCCCGTACTCCTGGCAGCACCTTTGGTCTCTGGCAGGTTTTGTGTTTGCTAAGTGAAGTGTGTGAGCTTGCCCATGGCTTTATACCTTGTCCTTCACATGTAAACATGCTGCTGCTCATGCTTTGGGACCATGTGGTGGCACCAGTGCTAGGCAGCAGTGCCCTGTTTGATCTCGTCACTGCAGTCAGTGCCGGCTGCCAGCAGAGAAGACACTGCAGTGCTCATGGCTGGTACTCTACAAAAGAAACTAACTGCTGCCAAAGACCATTCCCAGCTGGAGACCCAGTTGTCACCGGGCAGGAAGGTTTTCTGACATAGCACACTAGTTTTCCCTTACTTAGTTTATTTCTTTATAGGAGACATAGCTAAGGGTGAGGCACAGCAGTGGGTGCTGAGACCTGGGTAGCAGGAATTGTGGACTGGCTTTAAGGACAAGCATCCACATATGAGTAAGGCAGCTGCTTCTTTGGAACAATTTAGCATCACACTATATTCATTGCTAATGAATTTTCGTCTGAATGCCAGAATTTATTTTCACTGAAACTTTGGACTTACAAGTTGGATGTAGAGAAATGGGAAAGAAGGTGTGACAGGGGAATGAAGAGGTCTGGCTAAGGAACGCAGTAAGTTGCTAAAGTTTGCAGCCACTGCATCCTGTGTAGCTTCAGAGGCTGAAAGAATGAACAGGCAGCTGTGTTTGGAAGAGGATGAGCTGTGTTTGGAGGGTAGCAGTGGAAAGTGCTGTAAGCAATATTTTGGGGAAAAAAAAAACAACTTGTTACTGCACCAAAACCTGATGAGAGCTGAAATCAAACAGCCATCAGTGAAGGCACTGAGCACTAGACATTCTTGCCACCTGAGGAGAGCAATTGGCAAGTGCTCAGTAAGTGCTTGTTCTGGGTTTGGAGGAGCAGCATGGTTATGCTAATAGTCCTTTCCCTTGCCTGCAGTGCTGCTGTGTACTCTCCTGGAAGAATGGGGCAGGAGACTTTCCCAGGACCTATCTGTGAGGAAGGGCTCACTGCCATTTCATCTGGTCCAATGCAGGTGGCTGCAAGCCTGCCTTCCCTCCTACCCCTGCACACATCTCCCTGCCCCTCGCAGTGGAGCTCTTTGAGCATTTGTGAGGTCTCCCAGAGAGTCTGTTCAAAGACACAACTTGATCGAAACCAGCCCAGCCAGGGAAGTTCACATCTGGGCAGAGCAGCTTGGGATCTGTGCTCTGCCTGGGCTGGCATCGGGCAGGTCATGGACAACACAGCCAGTGTGGGAAGGGGTCAGCACCACAGCAGAGCTGACTGGAGCTGCCACAGTCTGCCAGTCTGTGAGACTATCTCTGGCATCTAGGTGCTCTTCCTCCATTCACCAGCTGTTCTCATCATCAGGGGTGATGTTCCTCCTTGCCCCATTGGGACCTGCCCATTCCTAGCTCATCAGCTGTGCTGTCAGCGCTTCACAATGCACTTCTTGCTCTAAAAATTCGAGTGAGAATCAGTCAGGTTCTTTTCAGAGTCTTAAGCTGTCTTTAACAAATGTAGACCCAGTTTTGGCCTAAGTTCTCTTGTCTGAGAAACATCCTTTCTGAGAATTTAATTAGAAGCAACTCTCATTTACATTAATTCTACCAGCTGCCATCAACTCTGAGGCCCGAGGGGAAAAACTCAGATCAACTGAGAAGGCCATTAGCAAGGACATTAGAAGAAACCATATCCAGGTCCAGCAAAATTCTGAAAATACCTGGAATTCATGTGTCCTTAATTGCTTTTCTCCTTTTACAGCTGTTGGATGAATGTGTCATCTGAGACGGGGCTACCTCAGGGATTTCTTTTCCATTATGTGATGTAGATATGGAGAGAGGAGCAGGCAATGACTGCTCAACAAGGAAAGGATGAAGTTTACTTGAGCAGGAAAAAGAAATGTTAACTTAGTGGAGGAAGGCCTAAGGTGCTAATATTGGGCCTAAACATGGGCAGATGTGCTTGCAGGAGCAGCAAAGGAGTTACTGAGCTAAGATGATAAAAGCGTTAAACATCTTTTGGAGAAAGATGAGATACCACTTCTGGACTTAAGTGCCTTGTTCAAGTGTGTCTTTGAGTAGGTCAAAAGCATAATAGGGTGATTTCTGTGTCTTACAGGGCCATCAGAAATAGAAGAAGCTTAGGCGTCTTGAGGATGGAGACAGCAGAAATTCACAGCTAGCTCTAGGCTCTGAGTCAGAATCACTCTCAGGACTCCTGTTAGACTGGTGTGATGTCCACACCTCCTCTGTCACCACACCCAGGGTTTTTCTGCACTAGGAGCATGGCAGCAAAAGTGCTTTGCCAGGCAGTAGATAGTCCTTATTGTTATTGTCAAGAGAGGAAAAGCAAGGTGTTGTGAGGTCAAGAGACTTGCCCAAAATCAGCCAGTGACAGTTGTAGGGCTTGAAACCATGTCCCAGTCCTGTGCTCTACCTAACAGTTAAAAGTCTCCACTGCAAATCCACGCCATGAACTTTTTGAAGACTTGCTTGCCTTTACAGGCTGCAAAGTGTCAGGCATGCCCACCTCATTATCTACATAGTGATTCGTTTCCAATCTCATAAATAAGTTCTGACACAAAGGAGGTAACATTTAAATGCTGTAGCATGCATTGAAATGTTCTCTCCAGGCTGCCCGTGTAAGAAGCTTTGCCAGCTACACTCGCTTTTGGCAGCTGCTGCTGTGACAGCTGAGAATGCAATATGATAAAAATGCCACTTCTGCAAAATAATCATGGCCCATTGAGTGCTTCCCAGCAAGATCTTGTGAAGAGAAAGACTTAGCCAAAATACATCTGTTTGGAGCAGCATGAGGGTTGGAGAAAGTAAAGCACAATGTGAATGTTAAGCCGAATGCTGTAATAGGTCAGTGTTTCAAGGCCTCGGTTGTTATAGCTGAAATGATTTGAGAATACTTTGTAGAGTTTGTACATGTGATATGAACTGATCAGGTGACATGAAACCATTCTTACCTGGCTTTTGAAAGTGTGAAAAACAAGGGAAAATGGCAACATACTAGCACAACTGTCAGTTTACTTTTCCTGCTAGAACCTTGACAGACGCTGGTTGATTGTTGTTTTAATTAATCAGAAGCAATCAGCTTGTAAATGCTGTGATTAACACAGCTTCTATTTAACCCCACGTTGAGCTTTCCAAACAAGTGTCTGTAGCAGTTCTGCAGAGTAGAAAGGGAGGCTAAAAGCTCTCAAGTAGAAGCTCCAGAAGCTGAGGATGGCTTCTGTTGCTAAACCAGCAGGGCTGCCTCCAGCCCACAGAGCAGCTGTAAAACAGTGTAGCAGACTGCAGCAGTTGAAGTCCAAATGATTTTCTACTGTTTTTAGGAGAAGATGCTTATTTTTCTCTCTGAAGTTCCCAACTGTCAGTTTGACACTTTGATTCCTGAGTGGCAGCCTGTGTTTAAACTAATGGCAATTGCTGGTATAAAATTATGTTTCCTTTTCTCTCCATAGGTTTGTTGATTGGCTCTGGTTGTGCCCTCTATCCTCTTGGCTGGGACAGTGAAGAAATCAGACAAACCTGTGGTAACCTTTCAAGCCAGTTTGAATTGGGTGAGTCATCAACAGGGCATTTCAGCCACATGAGACTCTTCTATGTGTTGTCCATAAAAGCAAAAAAGGACATGAACTGGAACAGGCTGCCCAGGGAGGTTGTGGAGTCTCCTTCATTGGAGACATTCAAAACCCACCTGGATGCGTTCCTGTGTGATGTACTCTAGGTGACTCTGCTCTGGCAGGGGGGGTTGGACTAGATGATCTTTGGAGGTCCCTTCCAATCCCTATGATTCTATGATTCTATGATAGGCTTGGAGAAGTGACCCAGTTGTATATGGTATTCATCTTGCATCATTCTGGTATGGTGCTAAGGCAGGGGAATTGCAGATAGATCTGCTGGAAATATTTTCCAGAAGAACATTAGAAAATAAAGGAATGTATGTATGTATGTATGCATGTATATATTTAAGACATCAGATTTAATAGTCTTGCAGTAACACTTGTGGAGATCTTTACAGGGTAGGCAGAGGCATCGCATCACAGCACAGGTAGGTATAATTCACAATGAGTACAATTAGCTGTCTTTGAAATCTGGCATGTTTATAACTTTTTAACTCAAGACTGAAGAGTATGGTTTTGGTTACTCACATCCTTGGGAACACTTGCTCTCTATGTCACCCTTCTTCCAAACCAGCTACTGGTCCTACTGCTGATGACTGCGCTGAGCACTGAGTGAGAGCCAGACATGTGGTTGGGCTGGGCTCACACCCATGCAGTATGGGGTGAACCACCTCTAGACAGGGCTCTAGAACACAAGGGCCCAGAAGTGACCTGAGGATTAAGTAATGCAGCTGCTGATACCCTATTCTGTAAGTTCTCGCTGATCCTGTTTCACCTGAGAAAGAGGGGGATTTGAAATCCTTCTGAAGGAGAGACTGCGCATTCTGACCCTCTTGAGAGGGGTCCAACCAGGTTTGAGAGCTCTAACTCCCAAGCCTGGACACACAGAGCTCCCCATTTCCAGCTCCTGCAAGATAAACCTTATGGTTAGTGTAAGAAACTCTTTCCATAGCTGTGTGTGCAGGAGTTGTGGTAGCCTAGCCGTAATCCCTGTGCAAATAACAGTGGACAAAATGGTCTCCTAGGGTTAAACACAAGCCTACTGCATTATCTTTTAATTTTACAATGATCATTCTGTCAGGCTTCAGGAGAAAGGAGTTCTGTTTCCATCTCAGAGATGCTTCCTGTGAAGATAGGCAAATTAATTGAGGTCAAAAGGTAAAAAAATACTGATTTGGCAGAGATACTCCAGGTCACCCTCCCTTCCACCATTCCTGTGGTGTTTTGGAGTGTATTTGATCTGGCATTGGACCAGAGATTCTCATTACCAATATCAGCACCCATCTCTATCACTGCCACTGATGTTGTTACCAGCAGCCACTAAGGGTGTTGCCTAAGGAATGTGTAACATGCTGTAGAAGAAGCCTTACCGTTTTGTTTTGATCTCTAATGTCCTTCTGTGCTATTGATACTAGATTTTCTTTTCAATGAAGTATAAAAATTTTCAGCAACTTTTAAATTCACCTAAGATGTGAACAACACAAAGAGATAGCAATGAGAACAGAAATGTAGAGTTAACCATCAGAAAAAAAATAAATGTCTCAGAACTGAGATTCCCAGTTGTATGGAAAGGTGTCTCAAAGGATGTAGTAGAAGGACAAGGCAAAACACTGCAGTAACTGTTGCAGGGAGTAGCTGGGTTCATCACTGCCCATGGTCGATCCTGTGCTGAAGCCTGAAGTAGTTCCTAGCCAGCCATTTAGCAGCATCCCTGTTTGAAAGGCCAGCTTGCTCCTTGCTGATGCCTGCTCTACCATTCAAGCATCTGAGCAGCTCTGCTTCTGTGACTCCTGTTTGTGTCTCCTGACAGCCTCCATGTTCCCAGGCTACAGCTGTTGCTCTTCCCAGAGTGTAGCAGCTGTTACCTTTCCAGGTTACTTCCTTGCAAACTCACAAGAAGGTGGGTGTAGTGCCAGTTAGAATGCTTTGAAAACAGCACTAAGATAGCTACAAACTGTGACCTTAGACACAGTCATACCCAGAGTCAGAGCAGAATCTCTGAGACCACCTTCACCATCTCAGTCTTGACTCATGAGTCAGATATGTGCATTAACTGAATCACTCTGCCCTTAAAGTCAGTGAAGAAACCCATGTGAAAAATTTCAGCTGGCAGCTTTCTCTCCAGGTACACATAAGGACCCTGAGATGTATCACATTAACTGTGAAGGCATGGACTCTTGATGTATTTTCTGGACGTGGAGCATGCAGGGCATGTGTTGTGCGTGTCTAGACTTGACAGGAGAGCTAGTCTCGCCGATCTGCTGCAATCATATGCTAACACATTAATTAACAGGTTATAATGAGAGCTGAAATTTGCTGTAGTGATTTCTACCAGGCTGTTCTGCCACTAAACGTCTCTTTTCCACATACATTGGCAGTGAATGTAAATGCTTGGCTAGGATTACTTTTTTTTTCACTTAATGTCGCTGCCTGTTTGATGCTGCGTTAGCTAAATCATCTGCACAGAAGAGGTGCTGTCCAAAGGCCATTTCATAACCACACTGCTCATTGTCTTTCGTAAATACCTCTTGGTGGTTGATAAGCCAAACCCTCTAGTCTTTTCTGAATCATTAGAGACTAGCTTACTCATTATAGCCTACAGGCCGAAAATAATGTTTCAAAGACTTAATCTCACCGAGTCTCAAGACAAATTTAAATAATGGTTGCTTTCATTTGAATATTTAATTTGATTAAGCTGCAATGATATGCTTTCTATTCCTGACTCTCTCAGCAAAGCTGAGCTGACATGAGCCCTGCACTGGGTTGCTCATGGGTGAAATGGTGGTGGTGGGAGTGCTGGTCCTGCACCTCCTGCTGCTATGGGTGCTAGCGAGTGTGATGCTGAGAGCCTAAGTCAGCACATGATGAATTATGGTTGCTTGCAAACGAGAGGGTGTTCAAAGGGATGCTGACCAGCAGGCAGCATTCAGACTCTTCAAAAATGGCAGAGCAACTGCTGCAACTTGGACCACAGGGAACCTGGACCTGTAGTTAAGAAAGGAAGATCAAAGCACACTAGGTTTGACCACAGAGCCAGCAGAGCTGGAGGTTCAGCACTGAGATTTGTTCTGAACTTATAAAATGTAAGGGGGGAAAATTGTAAGGTTGGCATAGGAAAGATAAGCCAGGAACTACAATCTGCATTGAGATGAGAAGGACAAGAGGCAGGTGCAGAGGAGGGACTGCAGAAACTCACTTGAGAAGCAGCTGAATTATGCACTGTGAAATGTAATGTTAACCAGAAGTATTTGAGAATTAGCAATTAAATTAAAATTGTTGCTTTACTGAAACAAGAGAAACCTCCAGCCCATAACACGCTCATAACTAGACGGAATAAATAAATAGCAATGCTAAGAACCCATTTAAAAAGCCTAATCCTTAGTGGTTGTGCTAGATAAGAAGTGTTTCTCTATGTCTTCAAGCACTCTGAAAAGGCATTAGACTAATAGGCACTCCAAATATGGCTGAGATAGCCCATATTGTGAAGAGGAGACCCCCTCCCTCTGTCCCCACCAAACACACACATTTCTATGTACATTCTAAAGCAATATTTTAAAAGGCTGCAGGAAAAACAACTGTGCCTTTAATTTATGTATAAGTAGATTTGGGTATTCTTTTATAGAAAACCTGAGCTGACATTGTGAAATGCCCAGCAGTTTGCTGCTCTCTTTTAAATTGGATATTTATTTGTTTTTTTTTATTAAGTGAGCTATATCCAAAGGGTTTACTTAAACATTTATGTATTTAATGGGACTAATTTTTTTTTCAATCAAATGAAAGCTTTTGTACAACTCAATCTCTACAAAGAGGAATCATTCTTCAACTGAAGATACCCTGCCAAGGACAACCCCATTTGTTGATTAAATTGCATTCAATCGATGAGCTGTTTTGCTAGAGAGGATGGGGAGTAACCTCCATAAATAGAGAGAGACTGGTGCACCTGTAGAGGGGCCTGCTGTCTGCTTTTCGCTAAGCAGTCTGGTTTTGCCACCATGAAAAAAAGCAGTGTGATAGATTAGGGCTTTGACAAACAACTTCTGGCAAATCTTGTTGATGGGTTAAGGCCATGACAGGTCTCTGCCGTGTATCTCCACTTGCTGTTCCCAGCTCCCTGGCAGTCAGCAGGATCTGCATGGAGGCCTTGAGACCCTGATCCAAATGCCATCTCAGATCACAGGTGGAACAGAGTTCCCATCAGAACACCAGACTTTGAACTGGAAGGGCCTTATGCCACTGTTTTTATGGTGGTAACTCCTAGAAGTGGGGCAATATAAATAAATGAGGGTATAAGAAAAGAGATGCTTATGTTTCAAACTAGCATAGTTCTTTGCCCAAGTGACCAAGTCAAAGTCCTTCATCTAAATAGCATTTGGCCACAGGCTAATGCCTGAGGTGGAGGCTGGAGTTATACACTATCAGTGCTCAAAGGGGCTGCCTTGCACTTTTACCAAATATTTGAGGACGGATCAAAAGCTTCTTAATCTGCTGTCACCACACAAGCTGTTATTGTTATGCTGCATTATTTACACCCTGGAGTTGCCTGTGGGCCCACTCATGATGGGCCCTGGCATAGCACAGCAGTACAGGCATGGCACAGCAGTACAGAGCTGCTGACTGAAGGGTGTGAAAGTAAGAGCTACACAATCCCGAGGTCTGCAAAAGGAATTACCAGGCCATTTGCCAAAAGCAAGTATCTTTATAGCATATCATATAGCACACATTCAGTTTTGCTGAGCTAGGGGCACTAATGCCATTTTATTTTCATTTCTAAATATACCATACAAGAATAACAGCTGAAAAATGAGGGGTTTAGAAGGAAATTTAAGTGAGGGACCTTTCATTAAAATGAAAATGTGTGTTAAAGTGTAGACTGCACCAGGCATTGGCAGAAACGCATTTTCTAAAACTTACATTGTATAAAGAAACCTTCTGAACTT